TTTTATTTTCTTTAACAATTTAAATATTTTTATACTTTTTACGACTTTTCCAAAAACTACTTCTTCGTTTCTAGATCTTTACTAGAACTTTATTTCCATAGAAGAAAATTTTGCCCCTATAATTGTTATACTCAAAACCCTTAAAATGCGATTAGTACAACGTAATTGTTTATTACAGCGAAACAATAGTAATTTTCCAAATTTTGCAAAGGCAGAAAAGTAGTGGCTATCTTCTTCTACCGCAACATACCATATTTGAACTTTAAAAAAAACAAAATGGCCGTTAAAATTTACCATTGTCTCAAATCAATTTTTTTCCAAATTTTTTCTTTTCCTTCTAGAGTGCAAATTATAGCAGCCTAAATTAATCTTAGCGACTTTTAGACACAAATAAATATTATTTAATTTTTTTACAGTTTCACTACCTCTCAATTTGCTCTAGAAATTTGTAAAATTGTTTGTGTCTTATATTTCCGAAACTGCAAGATTTTTGAAATTACAATAAATACCGAAAGCTAACGGTAAATTTCATGTCATCAAAATAACACTCAAATTCCAGCATTATGTTAATGGGTCTTACAATTTTTTTTTCTCATCCTAAATGTATGCAATTTTTTTAAAAGCAGCATTTTCATTTTCTGAAGGATAAAGTGCTACATTAAATGTTGCTAAACCATTGGCTTGACCTAACTTTGTTAATTTAATTATTTTAACATTTTTTATATAGTACGAATTATTTGAAGTTATTGAATGTAATTATAATGTTTAAATTGCGATTCGAACTTAATCTTAATTTCAATTTTGATATTTGATTACACTTATAATATTACTTCAATATCAATACAGTAGGGGGACCATAAATTTTCTAAATTCGTTAAGAAAGGGAAAGTGCAAACAGTATCAAATCTGCAATTAAAAGTTTAATTTATTTTCATTAAGAAATGGAACATGGGAATAGTTTACACCATACTAGATTTTGAATAGAAGTTCATCATGACGAATTTGTTCATCTAGACTGATGTATTTTATTGTGAATCAATGATTCACAATAAATTTTAAGGATTAATAAATATGCCAACTTCTTGTTGTACGCTGATTTTCCAAATTTACTATAAACGTAATTTCTATATTCTGTCAATGGAAAAACAAATTTCTAGTAAAATTATTTATTAAAATTTTTACCATTACATGCCTTTGCACTTCTAACAGATTAAATGTTTAAGTTTAATAGTAAATGCTCTTTTCAATGTTTTCTATTGAGATTTAGTTTTACAAAATATCTCCAATATCTCTTAAAATTTTTTAACAGTAATAGTACTTAAGAATGTCATGTGCATATCGTATTTACTTGCACAACACAAAATCTGTGTTATTAATAATATAAAATAATAAAACGTTGTAGCTAGTTGTAACATAAATAAAAACAGTTTTTAAGTGCTATAAGGGGATAATTTCAAAAAACTCAAATTAAATAAAGTAAATTAAGAACTTATTTATTTTTAATCGATATTTTACCAATAATAATAATACCTATATAATACTTTTAATAGTATTATAAATAATTTATCCTGTGAATATATAAAAAGTATGCTTACGTTAAAATATACGTATATAAATATACAGAGTGATTCAGTAATCCTCAGTTCTTAAACTATAAGTGCTCTAACTATCAGTGAACAATTATAATAATATATTTTTATTTTGAACTAACCATAGCAATATTCAGAGGATTTTACAGATCTTTCACAAAATTTTAAATTTTGCAGGCCATTTGTTTACGACTTCCTTTTGAAAAACTTTGGAACATTCAAACAAACAGCTTTTGAAAGGGATAATAATGGGCTAGAATCTTATATATTATAATTTTATTTTGTAATTTATGGACTTTCGAAAGAGCAAGAATTTTAATTTTAGAAAAATTCAAATTATTAGTTTCTTATTAGTTTACTTTACAGGTGCAATTTTATCTAAAATTTTCTGAAATTTGAAAAAAAATTCTTTACAAAATTTTTATCACTTTAATTTAAGCCAAAAAAGTTCAAAAATGATTTATGGTTCCAGGTTATACCCGAAAAATCGTTTGAAGTCCGAGATTTTAAAAATTATTGTTCCAACTTTTTTGTAAACAAGTAAAGCTTTTCATAAAGATGCTGGTAGAAGAATAGGAACCCCGGGCTCTCATCTCGTTTATCCCGTCGAAGGGTCAGGGTCTTGATCTGTCAGATAAATATTATCTAAATTCAATGCACTCTGACTTATTTTGTCTACATAGCAGACCTGCAAAGCTTTATTTGAATTTCATTATCTTTAACTCCCCAAACTACATTATGATACTAAATAAATCATTGATTACTGAATCACCCTGGATGTACGCATTATACAAACTTACCATTATAAAACTAAAATGTTACGTAATTTTGATGTATACGAGTATAATCCCTAAAAAAAAAAGAACTTAAGACCTAACTTTGTGTCAATTTCCTTACCGGTAGTTTACTTCTTCTTCTTGAAGTTCTCAAAAAAAATTTTTTTTACCACAAAACTCAAAGGAATTTAACTTTATTTGATGTGCATATACACATAGGGTACCTATATAATATACACATACCTCTACATGTTTTTTCTTATTATCTAATGGACCGGCATAATCTGATGCAAAAAAGTATATGTATATACATCATATAGTAATATGTATATAAAAAGTTTTTCCTCTCTTTACATTTACATTTTTGCTTTTATAACATAAAAATAACTATAATATATAATATTTTTATAAAGGTAAATGTAAATACTTGTATAACACTATCACGTTTACCTATATATTTTAAAAGTATAATATTATAATAAACCTGAATAATATTTGTAATCAATGTATACGTTTATGTGTAATCAATTAGAGTGATAATGCAGGATCGACCTTATATAGTTATTCAATTTAATATGAAAAGGTTTCTTTATTAAAAATTCCACTGTGCGACCTAATGATACTTATCGACACAACACATTTTCATTGAAGTTTTGGGTACTGTTTTTTTTTTTTTGTTGTTATTTTTTTCTTTTCTGTGTACCTGCATAATTTATTTATAACACCTGAAGATATAGAGTAAAAAAAAATCTGAACTATTTTACATGTTAGAAGGGCGGACTTTGTTTTCCTTTTACCATTTTCTGTTCATTTGAATACGAATAAAATTGTGTACGGTTATGTAATATAATTATTGAGCTCGAGGATATTGTAAAATAACTTTTTTTTTAAGGATTGCGTGGTGAAATGCGAATTTTAAAAATAGACCAAAATTACTATTTCAAATTGGTTTTTTGCAAGTATTCTAATATAATACATAAACTATTATACATAAAAATATTATATTACATAGATTCTTTGCCTATAACAAGTTTGAAATCAACAATAATTGCTTTGCTAAAAAAGGACACTTTTTGGCTAATCAACTGTTGATATTCTATTGAGGGAGCAGCTATGCTATATCCGCTGTTTTCAGAGCAATAATTAAAGTCAAGAGTACGAGAGTTGTATTGGAATAAGAAAATTTTTAGCATAATTTTTGTCGACTTTGAATAGTTTTCCTTTTGTAGTTAGTCACAAATTATCTTTGATTCAATAAAATTGAATTGAAACAATTATTTTCTTTAATTTTTGATTTCTCATTTTCAATTTGAATAAAATGCAATTTTGAATGTAGAGGAAGGAGATAGAATTTTTTTAAGTAACCAGGGAGTTGAATGATTTGAAATTTAATGTGCAATTGAAATAAAGGGTCCATGTCGTTTCCACATAGAACGAGAATATATGCAGAAAAAGTATATGCACACAAGAAGTGTTAAAAAACTTGGAAATAAATATTTTTTTCTATAATCACTTTTGAAATGAATTCAAACTTATACTAGTAAAAAAATTATTATATTTGGATAGAATTGTATATAAATCTGAAATAGAATACAATAACTATTAACTAAAAATAAATTGATATGGTCAGCACATAACCGACCGCAATAGATATTGTATAGTTTAGTAAAAGTGTTACAGAAGATTATGAAAATTCATTTTAATCCCTTCTTTACAACTTTAAGGACATCAATAAGCATTCAGTTAACATTCCTCGAGAAATGAAATTCCCTGAAAAGTTCACCAATTAATTTCCACATATTATGAGTCCCAGTTGAGTTTGAGAGCCGTAACCTCTCCAAAAAGTTTATATGTTTATTGTTTTAACATACCGAATGTAAATATGAAATTTCAAGGAAATTCATTGATTATTTCGCTCTATATGTTAAAATATGTAAAATCGCCTCGCAAAAAGGTCCAGCTCCCGAGACTGGACACATCTGGATATACGAAAAAGTTGATCAATTTGTAACATAGCCTCAATAAACTCACATACAAAATTTGATTAAAATCGGTTCAACCGAACTTGAGATACACGATTTCCCACACAAAACGACAGACCGAGATCTGTCTAGAAATAGTTTGTTTACACTTCCCTATTATGAAGAAGTGCGTTCCCACTGAAAACTCGACATCTGAAATTTGCATGCAATGCGATAGGCAATAATTACCATAAACAATGTAAGTACTTTGAAATTTAATTTTAATCTTGTCCTTACCGTTATATTTTTAAATTTTCTCAATTTTGAATGTTTTGGTTTTAAAAAATGGAAATTTTAGCTTGTTTTATTGGAAAATTTTTAGGATCATAGTGTTAATATAGTACAGATTAACTTAATAATCAGATAGATTTTGCGAAACATTCTTTGAAGTATATTTACATAGTGTTTTGAACTTGATCTTATTTTGTTGGTTATACTATCAGTTCTTTTATCTTTTCTCATTTACTTGGCTTTCAATCTCTTAGTTTTTTATGAATTTTTCTACTAAATTTTTTTGTAATATAAGTGAAATTAATCTAGAATACAATCAAATTAAATAAAATTTTTATATATACCTTTTTTCTAAATCTCCTTATTTTTCTCTTATATTTCAGGTTTATATTGTAGGTCATATGCCACCTGGTTCTGATGAAAGAATTATTGGTGCAAGTCAACAACATGGTCATACAACATTCTCAGAAAAAAATAATTTACGTTATTTAAGATTAGTACGTAAATATTCATCAATTATTCAAGGACAATTTTTTGGTCATTTACATTCGGACTCTTTTAGGATAATCTATGATGAAAAAGGTATATATATTGCGAAATTATATCATTACATAATAAGTATATAAACAAAATTATATTCTATATGTATACATTTTGACACATTTATTTATTTTTGTAACTTGCTTTCCTTTTAAGTAATGGTTAAAAAAATATAGTGAAGGATTAAAAATAACCTCATTTTCCTTTTCCTACTGTACGAGTATAAGAGTGTTGAAGATTAAAAGTTACTTATGTTGTGAATATATATACAAAGTTATATGTATATAATAACGTTCATTACATAGTCCATGGCACGTTTTGAACATTTATATGAAATCCTAAATTAAATTGATATTAAAATTTTTTCCGTAAAGGTTTTTCGGAATGGTACGAATATAAGAAATTAAAGTTATAGTAAATATAGAAAAAAAAAATATTTATTTTTTGCTTGAAAGGTGATTTTGGGTATAAAAATAATTTTTTGCTTTGAGTAAAGAAAAAAAACGGAAATAGAAACAGGAATATCATGTAAAATTTAAGGGTTACCTATATTGAGAATTTGTACCTTATCCCTACATATATAGTTTAAAAAATTATTAGAAAAGTATTGAAGGATAGTTTTGTACCCTTTATATATTACATAATATGTATAATACAAATTATATATTTGGTAAACAATCCGAAATTTTGCACGTTTTTCTGTGTTTGCAAATTTTGGACTAGATTAGGAAATATGCATATAAGTACATTTTAGAAAAGCAGTTTGTATTCCAAATACACCTTTATAATATTATGCTGCAATATAATATAATACAATATACGGCTCCGAAGTAAGAATACATTTTCCAAATACAGAATCGGATACAATTGAATTTCTCAGTAGGATATGACAATCGGATGCAACATATTTTGACTACCAAAATTTTCTACATACACTACATGATATAACATATTGAACGCTAAGGCTCATACTTATTATGACCTCTTACACTATTAATATGAAACTTAGTAAGATTTTGTCTGCTGTGGCTAGTAATGTGGAAATAGTGACTGACAGCCTAGCCGTGATTTTAGATGTAAAGTCGCTTAGAATATCCTCGAAGCTGGTCCCCCGTTTGGGGGACATGCGGCTAGGTTGGGATTGACCTTCAATACGGTTTGTTGCAGCTGCCGAGAAATAGAAAAGAAGAATACTGTTTTTCATTATCTCTGCAAGTGTTCGGCTCTGGGTAGGGTCGGATTGGCCTCTTTAGGCAGAGAATCTGGTGTCTTAGATAGGCCACATATAATCGTTCGCTCAATGATGGCCTAGTGATCACGGGGTAGCGAAAGCATAACGGCAGATTTGTGTTAATTAGAGTGCCATTGACCTGCTGCTCCGGCCATGTTAACCAACCTTTGACTTTTTAAATCGCTTTAATATTATATTAAATTTTTAAGATCAATATTATTATTATCTGGAACTGCCGTCGTATATGCCTAGCCTAAGAGGTAATAAAACTTTATAGAAGAAAAATCACTGCATATTTGCAAAAGTGAGGGAAAAGAATTTAAAGAATTAATAGAAAGAATACTTCTATTAATAGAAAGAATAGAAAGTGACACAAGAAGTTGCTGAAGGTCATAAATCTCTAAATACCTATCTAAAGCTACTTTCTATAACTTCAAGCTCTATGTTATTATAATGTGGCTGACTTTTTCAATAGCTCAAATAGTTTACATATTATATGGTTTACACCACTCACTGCTTATATAACAGATAAAATTTAATTTAAGTTAATAATTTTTTTTATTCGAAAATTTTATACATTTTATAATTTTAGAATTAAAGAGTGTCCAACTCCTCAAGTCCCTTTTTGTGTTCCCTTACGAATATGTAATTTTCCACACACAGATATTTTACGTGTAATATGTAACAGAAATTAAATTTCTTAAGGCTATATACATATTTGAATATTAAATTTTTATACATATATACACCTACAAACACACAAACACACAAAAATACAATTTTGTACACAAAAAAGCAAACATCCTTTTTTCGTTAATTTTCAATTTTTATTTTTTGCTTTGCCCATAATTTTCATTTTTTACCTCACTTCTTAGTCATTTTTTATTGCTTTAAGGTAAACAAGTTAGTGAAAAATCGCCTTAGAAAAGCATTTTAGGTTACGCTCTAAAAAAAAAAACAAAAAAGGAGAAAAAAATCATAATAAAAACAGTAAAATAAATATTGTGTGTTAGGGAATTAGAGTAAAAAACGTAAAAAATAACACAGAGAACTGGAAATAATTTATTAATATTTTAATAATTTATGTGTGTGTACAAAACGTACATTACAAATATTATAAATTTTTAAAGTATAATATCCTTGTATATTTGCACTACTGGAAAAAATGTCCAGGAAAGAAAAGAGTCCTTGTAATATTATTAAATTGAAGAGCAACAAATACCTACCTACATCTTTCATTTTAATTTTTCTTTCTTCTTTATTTTTTAGTTTTCAATTTTAATCGAAAACGTCTGTGTTTCGAATAAAGACACACTTAATGTGGGTCAATGGCAAGCTTTTATAATTTTAAAAATAACATTCGTACTTTCAAACATTGTGAATTTTAAATCAATATTAAAAAACGAAAGAAACACATGTACATATTATGGACACACAATTTAGTTACTTAGAACATTTTATGAAATATTTTCGACTCCTTTATGATTTTAGCTTAGTCTATCCTATATAATTTAAGGGAAAACATGGTATTAATGGGAAACTTGTAATTTAAATTTTGTGTCAACACTTTCAAAAAAACAATTTTACTAATGAAATTTTTATGTAATATTATTACCGACCACACTGTATTGTATACAGTAAAGGTCAAGCATATGGGATGGATTTACGCATTTCCCCTTGATAATGAAGCGCAAATAAACTATTTTTAAAGGGATGTCGGTTCTCGGTCTATAAGTCTGTGTGGACACGCTTGTATATCAAGTTTGGTTGAACGATTTTGATGAAATTTTAGAACTAAGTTTATTTTGGCTATATGTCACGGGTAATTTTATGGAATAGATTACGCCCCGGGAACTTGATCTATTTTATATTTTCTGAAAGTGAAGCGAAATAAAGCAATCCGCCAATTCCCTTGAAATTTTATATTTAAATTTGCAGTACTAGATCAATGAACTTATAAATTTTTTCGCAAATGCCAGGGCTCGGAAGCCGAAAGGATTGATAAAAGTTTTTGGAATGTAATATTTGAGTTCTGGTTGTTACCGGTAAGCTTTCAGCTCAATCGAATGGCTCAAAGGGAAACCCTACTAAGAGCGCAATTTACTTTATTCTAGGTATGTACTTACTAGCGTACTTAAAATTAGAAACAAGTGTTTAACAGGCTTTTTAATAATCTTTCGTAACACTTTCGATAAACTAGAATATAGACATTGCCGTCGGTTATGTCAGATTTTTTTTTTTGGAGCATTTACGATTCGAATCTTTTTAAATTAAAAATACTGTGAAGTAGGTTAATATAAAAGAGAATAAGTTTTTAAAAGGAACTATGTGTAAGCCGAGAACAAATCAAGTGTAAATTTAATCCCAATAAATCCTTATAACATTTAATGCGTGCTAGAGAAATACGATTAACATTGCATGTAATATTCTGCTCGTTTCATGTTGTTTTAGGGACAAATTTTGCTATTAAATGATGATCTTTAATTTTAACGATTTTTCACGTAATTAAAAGGGTAATATTATATCAAATCAAAACTTTCATAATTTCAATAAAGAAATGAAAAAGTTTTCTTGAAAAAATTCTCCATATTCTGCTTATTCCAAAATAATATCTACTCTTTTAAAATCTACATAACGTATACGCCATAGGTTTCTTTTCAAAACAATATTTTATCCATCATGTTAAACTTAAAATAAAATTCAAGTTTATTTGTCTCCTTTTTCGTTCAAATTTTTTTGCAATTGTAAAAATTTAAGCTAGGATATTCTCTATAAAATAAATAATACCTATGTACTCGTATATGATGTACATTATTTTTTTTCAACAAAAAAGGATAAAACATATTATTTTGTTGAGTTTTGCTCTCCTATTTTTGTTTACGATAAGATGAAAAATATTAAACAATATTTGACATACTAAATTCCCTATCATAACAAGAATGGAAATGATTACTATGATAATGATGATTTTGTTGATGATTACAATATGATATAGATAATATCAATGATCCTAAGATAAAATGTCTTCAGGAATATTATGAAATAAAATCAATTTCTTTTTTTTTTGTAAAAAATTTACATTAGAAGAAAATGATTTTTCTTAAGCATTTTAAGAATATTTTTAATAATAATGTTATCTTAAGACATTTATAATTATAACGAAAGTATTGTAGTGTGCATATAAAGAGTGGACTTAATATTGAAAATGAAAAAAGCGATATTTTGACAGAAAGACAGAATTTTTTACTTTAAATGAGAACTAAATGGAAGAAATGCCAAGGGCACATATTTTACTTCACATAAAGGAGTTTTTTACTAAATTCAGCTTCAAAACCATTATAAATATGTTTTTATCATTGCGTTTTATGAGATAGTTATTAGTTTCAATAAAATTAAATTTATATGGAAAATCACCAGCGCTATATGAAATCACATTGCCAGTTTTAAAATAAAATAAAAACAATCATTGCTTTAGATGTCCTGCTCTTATGAATAACATTTTATTTGAAAATTCAAGGTATGTATTTAACAATTCGAAATTTGCATACTTTTAGGGTGTGGGAAGAAAAAATTTAAAAAAATTGCAACATAATGTCCGGAATTTAATAGCTGCAATTCTTTTAAGTAAATTGTTTGCCATCAATATTATTTGCTTCAATAGTAATTTAGAAATATTTAATTCTTCTGCAAAATGAAGCAACGAAAATTTAAATTTTATTAATTTTCGCAGCGATAATTGGGCAGATAAAAGAGTGGCAAAAATTTTATTAATTTTTAAATATTTGCTACCACGTTTCATAATTTTTACCTT